CTGTGAGGGTTCAGGGAGGCTGTGAGGGTTCAGGGAGGCTGTGAGGGTTCGGAAGGGTGTGAGGGTTCAGGGAGGGTGTGAGGGTTCAGGGAGGGTGTGAGGGTTCAGGGAGGGTGTGAGAGTTCAGGGAGGGTGTGAGGGTTCAGGGTGGGTGAGAGGGTTCAGGGAGGGTGAGAGGGTTTGTGTGGGTAAGTTCAGGGACGGTGAGTGGGTTTGGGAGGGTTAGGGATGGAATTCCAGAGCTTTCAGCACCAAGACTGAAATGTTGAGCCTGTGTGAGAATATCAGAAAGCAGTGAATATCAATTGTCCATTCAGCTCATTCACAGAAGAAGCTCGATGAGGATGACACTGAGGATGAAAAGGAGACAGGTGAAGATGACACTGAGGATGAAAAGGAGACGGGTGAGGATGGGAAAGAGACGGAGAAAACTGAGACTGTCTCTCCACAGATTCACAGCTGTGAACTGCCAGACTCAGCTTCAGGCAAAAGTGTGAGTGAGTTTTCATCTTCCTTCCTTCCTTCACTCCTGTTCCTGTCTTTTCCTTGATTATGAATACAAGAAATTGGGCCATTCAGTCTCTCGAGCCTACTCTGCTGTTTACTGAGATCATGGTTAATCTATCTCAGTATTGTTTTCCTGCACTACACCCTGATAAGTTGAAATCTATCAATCTGAGTTTTGAACAAACTCAATGACTGAGGCACCACAACCATCTGAGCAGAGAATTCCAACAATCTATCACTATCTAAGTGAAGGAATTCCTCCTCATCTCTGTCCTAACTGGCCTGCTGTATCTCTGAAGTGGGGACACTTACTGCTTTCCAGGGTCCGTAGTGTTTAGAAAGATAACCAGGAGCAGATATACAATCTCCAGAGGCCCCTCACACTGGCTGTGGATCATCAGATCCAGGCGTCTAACTACATTTAATTCCAATGATTTCTCTACTAACGTATTCTTACTGATTAATATCTTGCAGTTTGTTGTTCACAGTGGTTTTTAGATTCTCTGTTATTTCTGGGACGTTTTTAAAGATTTCTCTGTGAAGTCAGACACAGTATTTATTTAGTTCCTCTGCCATTTCTTTATTCCCCTTTACAAAGTCAGGAGACTTTATACTAGGCCCACATTTGCTTTTTCCTCTAATAGTATACTTTTCGCATTCATACAAAACATTTTTACACTTCTCACCAATTTTCATGAATGATCCCAAATGTAAAGTGTGGGAGGGGTTAAGCCCTGGGACAGGGTTGGAGAAATGTAAGTTAATAATCTGAAGATTACAAAACCCGATTGCACCATATTTCACTTCAGTTTGCTCCATGCTCTTTGTTAATTTTCCTCTAATAATCCCTGTCTTGGGCAGTTTGGTTGATGTTTACCAATGACACCTTGTCTTTCCTTATTCAGGAAGATCCCAGAAGTGAAAGTGTCTCAGTTAAAGTGGGAAACCTGGAGGAATTTGCTTTCAGACCAGCTCCACAAGGAACGGTTATAAAATGTCGGATCACCAGGGACAAGAAGGGGATGGACAAGGGAATGTTTCCAACCTATTACCTCCATATGGAGCGAGATGATGGAAAAAAGGTACTTGTTTGATTCTACACCCAGGATCATAGGCAGGATGCTAACTCCTTCATATCCCACCATAACTTCCACTGGACTGGAGGAAAATGGGGTGCACAGGAGGATCCCAGTGACCCCCACCAAATTGGGCTCCCCAAACCCTGACATCATCCAAATCTGTGACTAAAAGGATGATGATTTTATAAAAGTCATTTTCACCCATCAGCTACATTCTGGCCAATTGTCCAGTTTTATTTCCAAAATTTTTGAAGTTATATCTGTCTTTGAGCCTGCCTCTGAAAACTTCCAAAACGTCAGGCAGCCATTTGGTTGCCATGGCTTGGTTACCGGGCAGTGGGTGAAGTGAAGTGACTGTCACTGGGGAAATCGGGAAAGCGGGGGGGTTTGTCGAGCCGGGGATGTCAAGCCCAGGTGGGGAGGGGATGTCGAGCCCAGGGTGGGTGGCGTGGTGTCGAGCCCAGCTCCAGGGGGGTGGATCGAGTTTGGGGAGAGGGGATCGAGCCCAGAAAGGTGAGTGGGAGATCGAGGGCAGAGCAATGGGAGTGTGTAACATCCTGCTCCATCCCAGCCATATTCATCTGTAACAGGGATTAGACTTGGATTTGTGTTCCCTGGTCAAGTTCCTGAACCACTCAGTGAGGGCAGTGTGGGTGAAATATCCGATTGATCTGGGAGTGACATATCCTCCTGATTGATCGGGGTGAGGGGAGGAGAAAGGTTCATGCTCTTAATTCAGAGCAAGGACAAATTCTGAGCATGAACTGTCTGTGATGTGATGGTTTTTAGGTATTCTTGATGGCTGGGCGAAAACGCAAAAAGAGCAAAACATCAAATTATCTCATTTCGACAGACCCAACAAACCTGTCCCGCACTGGAGAGAGCTTTATCGGGAAGTTGAGGTGAGAGTGAGCCTTTGTCAATTCCATGGGATCAGGGGATGGGAAGTTGCTGATGGTTTTTGCGGTGATTGTAATGTGATCATCCAGGTGGACCTCACAGAACATGAGTTCCCTAATTGGAGCTGTTAATCTGGACCAATCAGGGAGCCCTGGCTGACAGATATAAACAGGAGTGTCAGAGGTTCTGTTCACTCTGAGATCTGGCTCTGAGGGGGCTGGATCAGTGACAAGGACTCTCCTCATGTGAATAACGTGTGACTTTGTGCTGGATACCAGTGTCTGTGGAGTTATTTCAGCTACCCTTTCCCCACCCCAGCTGAGAATTGTCATGGTCCAGCAGGAGGCCAATCAACCCATTGAGTCAGCATTGGCTCTGACTATTTTAACTTGGTGCCAATCTCCTGCCTTTTCCCTGTAACTCTGCACACAGTCCCATTTCAATCATCATCCAATTCCCTCCTGAATACCTCCATTCAACCTGCCTCCACTACTCTTCCAGACTGTATTCCAGACTTGAACCATTCACCTCACATTTGTTCTTTTGCAAAACACTTTAAATTTTATGTTAGGGAACCGTTTCTCCCATCTATTTTCAGTCCAGACTCCATATTTTTAAAATCTGCTATCAAATCTCCCCCTTAGCCTTCTCCTCTCCAATCTATCCTTCGACTGAAGTTTCTCATCCTTCTCAACTATTCTCATAAACATATTTTACACTCTCTCCAATGCATTGACATCTTTCCTAAAAGCTGTGCTGCTGAGAACTATACACAGATCTAGCAGGATGTTACACACTCCCATTGCTCTGCCCTCGATCTCCCACTCACCTATTGATTAGGTCTAATCAATATCCTATAAAGTTCATCATAACTTCTCTGCCCTTGCACTCTGTGCTCTAATTAATGAAACCTCCACTACTGTATGCTTTATTATCAGCTCTCTGAACCTGTCCTGTCCCCTTTATGTAGCTATACACCCAGATCTCTCTGCTCCTGCACACCCTTTAGAACCGTACCCTTTTTTTTCTACTGTCTCTCCATATTCTTTGTACCAGTGCATCAGCTCACACTTCTCCACATTGAACTTCATCTGCCATCTGCCTGCCTTATGAAGTTGCACTGTCCATCGCTCAGTTTACAAGTCTCCCAAGTTTTGTGTCATCTACACACTTTGAAATTGTCCCTTGCACATCAAAATTTGGATCATTTTTATAAATCAGGAATTAATCTCAAAAATAGAATTTCTACTGATATTCAGGAAGTCAGATTGTATGTTGGCCTTTGTTTCTGAGGGAAAGGAAGATAAAAATAGGAAGGTTTAGAAGAATGAGATGTGGCCATATTGAAACGTACATAATTCTTAGGGACTTGATAGGGTAGATGTGGAAATGTTGTTTCCCTTATGGGAGAGTCTGGGACCAAACAGCATAATCTCAGAATAAGGGCTCACACATTTCAGACAGAGATGAGGAGGAGTTTCTTCTCTCAGTTAATCTGTGGAATTCTTCACTGCAGAGGACTGTTGAAGCTGAGTCATTCAGTATATTCAAGACTCAGACAGACAGATTTTTTATCAGTAAAGGGGAATCAAGGGTTATGAGGAAAACAAGAGAGTGGAGTTGATCAGCCATGATCATCTCATTGAATGGTGGAGCAGCCTCGGTGGGCTGAATGGCCTGTTTCTGCTCCTAAATCTTATTGTTGTAAATGCAAGCATCTCACTACTGACTCCAGGGGTATTCCATCACAAAATTTCCTCAGCCCAAAATAATATCTATGAATCATTACTCTCTGTTTCCTATCCCTCAGCTAAATTTTGTATCTATTTGGTACTGCCCATTTATTTAATGAGCTGGAACATGGCTGTTGTGTGGCACTATATTGAATGCTTTTCAGAAGTCCATGTGCACCATATCTACAGCACTACCTTCATCAACCCTCTCTGAGATTTCTCCAAACAACTCCAGCATGTTAGTTAATTAGAAATTTCCATTAACAAAACCATGTTGACTTTCTTTAATTAAACACGTTTTCCCAAGTGATTATTAATTCTAACCCAAAGTATTGTTTCTAGAACTTTCCCTCCTACTAAAGTTGGACTGACTTGTCTGTATTTGCTGGGCTTATCCCGACCCTTTTTGAACAGGCCATTGTTTACAATTCTCCATCCCCCGAAACTAAGGAAGACGGAACATTTATACCTAATGTCACTGCAATTTCCATTCACTTCCTGCAGTTGGCAAGTAATCCAGAGGCTGAGTCTAATGCATGAGGGACAGGAGTTCAATTTGCTCCTTTGAAACTGGTGGAATTTAAACTCAATGAATAAATATGGAATTGAAACAGTAACAGTGACCATGAAATGATTGTCGATGCTTATAATTCACTAATGTCACAAAGGATTACAGAAATAACATCCCAAAAAAAGGGGAAATACTGGGTTTAATAAGAAGGAGGAATTGAAAGAAATTAATATTAGTAGTGAAATAGTTTTGGGGAAATGAATATTTAAAAGAAATGTTTCATTCCAAAGTACTTAAGGAAGTGGCCTGAGAAATAGCATACGGGCGAGTATTTATCTTCTGAAATTCTGCAACAGTTCCTATAGATTGGAGGGTGTCTAATGTAACCCCACTATTTAAGAAGGAAGGCAGAGAGAAACAGACAATCACAGGTCAGTTAGCTTGACATCGGTAGTGGGAAAAATGCTAGAGTTCATTATAAAAGATATGATAGCGCAGCAATTGGAAGATAGTGACAAGATTAGACAGCAGCAGTACAGAATTACGAAGGGGAAGCCGTGCTTGACAAATCTGCTAGAATTTTTCAAGGACGTAACTAGCAGAGTGGACAAGAGGGAGCCAATGGATGTGGTCTACTTGGATTTTCAAAACGCTTTCCATAAGGATCCACATAAGAAATTGACGTAAAATTAAAGCCATGGGATTGTGTTGAGAACTGGTTGGCAGAGGAAAAACAGAGTAAGAATAAAAGGGTCTTTTTTCAAGAGGCAGGCAGTGACTGGTGGGGTACTGCAGGGATTATTGCTTGGCCCCTAGCTATTCACAATATATGTTAATGATTTGGATGAGGAAACCATATGTCGTATCTCCAACTTTGAAGATGACACAAAGCTGGGTTAGGTGGTGATCTGTGAAGAGGATGCAGAGATGCTTCAGTGAGATTTGGATAATGTAAGTAAGTGGGTAAGAGTATGGCAGATGCAGTATAATAAAGATAAATG